TCTGATGTTAATCTTGTAGGTTTTATAAGGAGGTACACAGCTGATGTGAAAATGCCGGTGTCTAAGCACTTGTTACATATATGATATTTTGTTTTACTGATATCTTACTTTCCTGCTAAGTGCACGTTGTATAATATAGCAGCTCCTGACAAAACAGCAAGACCAGCAAGATGTCAAGTATGTCTTACGAGAGAGAAAAGCAAAAAACATGTGCTATCACTGTAAGCAATATGTATGAATGGAATACGCTGTTTTCATGTGTGAAACCTGCCTTCATAGGTGTGATAATTGAAGTAAAGATTATTTTTATTGTAGGGTTTTATTGGTATGTTCTTTGTCGTTTATATGGAAGTTATTTCTGTTATTTTTCAGACTTTGTAAACAAAATAAATGATGTCAACATGCTTAGTTATAAACTCAATAAATATTAAAAATTGAATACATTATTTTTTGATTTTTTCCTGTTAGGTACACATTGTTTAATAAAACTCAAAATTAGTAATTCATCAATAGAAACACTCCTAAAAAATACACAGATATTATACACCACCCCGTGATGCTCCTTTAACTCCAAATTGGTGTGATGCCTCATTCTCATTGAGCGGTGGGGGAGAGGTGATAGATGAATGGAAATGGCTCCTTTCTCCAGGGTGTGTTTCAGTAAGAGGTAAGGTAAAATTGATGGCTAGGAAAAAATAATTGAGAAGTTAGATGTGCTGGTGCATGCTTATAATCCCAGAACTCTAGGTGGCTAAAGTAGGAGTATTTTAAATTAATTTGAGCCCAGGGTGGGCATCTGAGCAATTTAGTGAGCCCTTGTCTCTAAATAAATAAAACACAATGAGATAAAATTTGTGGATGTATCTCAGGGTGAAGGCTCTGATTTCAGCCCCCCAAATTCTTTCTTAGTGATGTCCCATAATAAATATGGAGGGTTTTTTTCATTCCTTTAAATTTTTTTAAAAATCTGACTGAGTTAATTTGAAAAGACCTCTCTTCAAGGTCAGACTCGCATGTTCAATTTTGCTCTTGCTATTATATATTTCTCGCTGTTGTGTATTTTATTTCATTTACTGAGTTCTTTAGCTTGCTTCCCCCTCCCTGCCTCCCCTTTCTCTCTCTCTCTCTCTTTCTTTCTTTGTACTTTGAGACAGGGTCTCACTATGTAGTTCAGGATGGTCTTGAACTCACTATGTAGTCCAGGGCGGTCCAAATTCATGGCAGTCCTTGCCTCAGCCTTCCAAGTGCTGGGGTTACAGGAGTGTACCACGATACCTGCCCTATCTCTGAATTTTTTTTTTAAGTTTTTTTTTGTTTTTTTTTTTGTCTTTTTGAGACAGGATTTCCCTATGTAGTTCAGGCTGGCCTTGAACTCACTTTGTAGCCCAGGTTGGCTTCGAACTCAAACTTGCAGTGATCCTGTTGCCTTAGCCTTCCAAGTGCTGAGATTACAGGCATGCACCACCATGGCTGGCTGCTTTGTGATTTCTGATTGGTTCTTTCTTATAATTTCTATCTCTATATTGAATTTTTCATTCATAACATGAATTATCTTCCTAATTTCAGTGACTTGTTTGTGTCATTAAAATCATTAATTTTCTGTTCTTTTTTGTTTTGAGACAAGGTCTTGCTGTGTAGTCCAGCAGGGCTGGCTTTGAGCTAACTTTGTGTCCTAGCCCAGACTGCCCTGGTGTGCATGATCCTCCTGCCTCAAGTTCTAGGATGACAGGCGTGTGCCACCACACCTGGCAAAGTTATTTTGTTGTTCAGTTCTTTATTATACTGTTCACAGATCCCCTTTTCTTTGGAATCTGTTACTAGAAAATGTGTTGTTTTTGTGGAGGCCTCATATTCCCTTGTTTTTTCAAGTTTTTAAAAATCTCTACATTGGTATTTTGTGTTTCTTCTGGATCATTACCAGTTGCAGTTTTTGTTAGGGTGGCTTTTGTAGTGAAGACTGTGTGTGGCTATGTGTAGGGTGATGATTGGAAGTGCTGCACTGGTGTTGGTTCCTGGTGGGTGCTTTAGTGTCTGTGTAGCTTCTCCTGTTAAAACCCACATTGGAGAACCTGGGATATAGCTCAGTGGCACTGTGCCTGCCTGGCGAATGTGAGGTCTTGAGTGTGATTCCCAGTACCAAAAAAACCAAAAAAACAAACCCCCAACCCCCACATTAGTGATGCCTGTGCATATCTCTGTGATCTAAGCTGCAGGGTTTGTGGGATTGCCTCACCATCTGGGCTGCAGCTCCCTGAAATAGGGAGGGTTCACTATCAGCTCTGGGGTGTTGTGCCTGGTTGCAAGTATGGAGCGTCCCATCATTTCACAGTTCATGTGAGGGCAGGGCTGTTTTGGTGGGCCCTAATGGGCCCAAGTGGGTACAGTGTCACATCCTTAGGGTGGGTCGCCTGTTGGTGTCTGAATCCACACAGAGGCCAGGTTGCACGAGTGGGCATAGACTGGGAGCCTGTTAGTGTTAGAAGGCTGAAGCACTGCTGAATTCTGGGAACTGCTGCTTAATGGGTTTATGGGCGTCTTGGATACTTCTGGGGCCAAGGTGGGTGGCAGGAGTGGGAACTGCCGAGAGATTTTTGTTTACCCTTGCCCTGATGAGCAGAGTCCCTCTGGATTTAGGATTGATTTTGAGAGAAAGAATAGTAAGTGTTGTGTGCTGGTTCCTTCTGTATGAGGCCCCTGTGTGTCTGTGCATCTGCCATATCCCCACTGCGTTCTTTTACTCTCCTTCAGATGCTCCAGTGATAGCTGTCTTTTTCTTCTCCTTTTATTGGGTCCTTTGTTGTGGAGGGAAATGCACCTGGCACCCCTGCTGAGCCGTCTTTCTGAGCAGCACTGTATGTGTGTTTTCAAAAGTATTTATCTTGAGCCAAGTTTGATGTCATTGCTTTTTAATTAATTAATTAAAACTATTTTTTATTAGTGCCTATTAATTTTTACAGAGTATTGGGTTTTAACATGGTATTTTGTATGTGCATATCTTTTTGATATTTCAAGCTTGCATAATTCAGATTTCCAAGGATTAGAATAGAAAAGAAAATTGGTAGACACTTGTAATCCCAGCAGTCTTTGGAAGCTGAGGCAGGAAGATAACAAATTTGAGCCTAGCCCAGGCAACTTAGTGAGACGTGCTTTGAAAAATTACATGTGTGTATGTATGTATGTATGTATGTCTATGATCAGACTGGCGATGTAGCTTATTGCATGCAGAGCCCCTGGGTTTGATCCCCAATACCACCACCAGCACCACCACCACACAAAAAAATCTAAGCTAGCGATTCATAACTCTTCTCAACTAAAAAGTGATACTATGTGGTTATTTTGTTAACTGCTTTTTCAAAAAAGAATTTGTTTCCTTTGCCTCCTTTTGCCTTTGGAAACATTTATAATCTAGGGTTATTGATTGTGGTTTCTTTTTTTATTTTAAAGAGAAAAGAACAAAACAAAGTAACAAAAACAAAGACAAAAACTATAAAAACGATACAGAATTTCAAAGCAAGATGATAGGAAATGTACAATGGTTGTTGTATTACTTACTGTTATCTTCAAAGTAGTTGTTCAGGTTACCAGATATATGTATGCAAGATTGATCAGACAATTAAACATTAATGGTTCCTTTCAATAAACCAATAGAAATTAGTAGTACAATTAGCTATCTTGTGAATATATATATTCCTTTTTTTTTTTCCTTCTTTCCCTCATCCCAGTTCTTTCCTGTTGAGCAGTTTCTTTCCCTTTCACAATGTATATTGCTTTAGTTTTATTTACTCTTTCAGGTTCTTAAACTGGGGAGACAATATGGTGTTTACACATACAGGTCTGATTTATTTCTCTTATGAGTATGGTCTCTAGTTGCATCCATGTGGTTTCTAGACTGGGGAAGAGATAAGGTTGGGACAAGAGTGCATTTTTGACAATTAACTACCACTTACAGAGATGACAGGTGCTCTATTTATTAATCGTTAGAAAGTGATTTTACATTCAGTATCTTATTTGATGTTATCAGCTTCTCAGAACGGTTGAATCAGGGTTTTATGTCCTCCGTCTTGTAATTGAGGAAGTTGAGAAAGTATTGTCCCATATTGTAGTAAGTGGCAGTGCTGCTGTTAACAGAAAAGATCGCTGGTTCAGAGACTCACGTACTTTTGACTCAATCACAGAATCTTCCTACAGAACTAGGGCAAGAAGGGGCTGGGGATTTAGCTCAGCGGCAAAAGCGCCTTCCTGGCAAGCGCAAGGTCATGAGTTCGGTTCCTGGTACCAGAGGAAAAAAAAAAAAAAAAAGAAGAACTAGGGCAAGAAGATGATGTTTGGCAGTAGACAACTTTGAATATATAACTAACATTGCTTTGTTTTGCAAACCTTGAAAATCATTTAGCTGCTTTTTTTGCTTTTAGCTTTTCTTTTTCCAATAAGGTTAATGATCCTTGGCAATTTATATTCCATAAGGTTGTTACATTTAAAATGCTTTGGGAAAAAAATGCTTTGGAGCATTTCATTATTTTAAATTTATCATTATTGTTATTAACCACTTTTATTTATCCTTATGTTATGATTGTTAATTCTTTAGTCAGACATACATAACTACGTTATAGTCACATTTAATGTGTGAATGGGAGGAAAGGAATTCAGGAAAATAAAGTGTGCCAGGATTTGTACATTCAGATCAGTGCTACTTTCTAAGCAGTGACCATGAGAATGTGTATATTTGTTGTCATTGCTTGAAATGACCATTAGATCTCATTTTTAAAATAACAGCTTCAGGATTTTATTTGCATTTTTATAAAGATGTATCTATTTAACATGAAAATATCAGGCAGTAGTTTACTTTTAGGTTTATATGATTCTCAAGTAATTTTCAGAACATTTTTATTTGGGTGTAGATTCAGCAACACAAACTCAACAGGTTTGTCGAGTACTTCTGTAGGTTAGTTGGTTAGAAAGTATATTTGAAGTAATGATCACTGGTTTGCTTTTTCCCCTAGTCAGCAGATAAACAGCGAGCTCTAGAGGAAACCAAAGCCTACACCACCCAGTCATTAGCAAGCGTTGCCTACCTGATAAACACCTTGGCCAACAATGTCCTGCAGATGCTGGATATCCAGGCATCCCAGTTACGAAGGATGGAGTCTTCAATCAATCACATTTCACAAGTGAGACCATGCTATTTTCTACTTTCCTAAGAGGAACATTTAATAAAGCTTGTCTTGTAATGCTGCAGCCTTTATTATGTGAGTTAATTTTCATGTATGGCTTGGGAAATACAAACTAATACTAGATTTTTTTTTTTTTTGGCTTCTGTCTTTTTGTGGTGCCATTATATTTATGCTTTGATAGAAAGTAAATGTTAATATATTTTATTACGTTTCAGTTGTCATGGTAAAATAATCAGCCCTGAAGTGAAAATTTGTTTTATTTCTTCTAATTTATGCTAGATTTTACATTTTATCATCTTTAAAAACAGAAATACTGGCTTATTTAAATTTTTCTGTTGTTATGGTTTGTGTTTATTGGAATGGTATCTTCCAGTAATAGACTAAGACCAGCAAACCTTATTAAAATATCTTTAAACATTTTTATTATAGAAGTCATGTTCACAAAAATATGGGAATAAAAATAGAAAACTCCTTTTATCACTACCTGACTTTTTTTTAACCAAGAAATAAGAATAATTAAAACATTTAAAATACATTTTGTACAATTCATGTCAAGATTTGAAATTTTTAAAAAATTCTGTTTAAATGCACAGGTTGAATTCTTTGTTTAAAAATTCATTTAACTGTGAAATCTATTTGATGCTCTTTAGACTGGAAGATTATGATTCTTTTCTTGTTTTGTTTTTGGTGGTAGGGATTGAACCCAAGATCTCACACGTGATAACCACATATTCTAACACTGAGGTATACCTCAGTCCCTAGAAGATTATTCTATAGAGTAAAAGAAAACATTTTCTGTCTTGAAAGCAAATACCTAGTAAATACTCTAGAACAGGGAGTGACAAACTTTTTCTGTAAAGGGGTAGATGATAAATATTTCAGGTTTTGTGAGTCATGGAAGACCTCAATTTTATATTCCTGTATGCGTTTTTAAACAACTATTTAAAAATTGTTAAAACCATTCTAAGGTGTGGACCATATAAAACAGTTTATGGATCAAATTAAGCATGTAGCGATAGTTTACCAGCCTCTGCTCCTAAATTTTTTTTTTTAAAGAGTATTACTCTTTTTAGGGGAATGGAACCCAGGGCCTTGCACATTGCTAGGCAAGTGCTCCACCAGTGAGCTACTCTATCAACCCTTCGTGAATTTTATTTGGAGATAGGATCTTGCTAAATTGTCCATGCTGGGCTCAAACTTGAGACCCTCTTCCTTGGTCTCCCAAGTAGCTGGGACTAGTGTGTGCCGTAATGCCCTGCTTGAAATGTTTGAACCCTAACTTTTGTTATTGTCTATACTATTATTACAGTCTGCTTTTAGGGGCAGGCATAGGGTTCCTGCATCCAGAGTTTCATGCAGCTTGGATAAAGTACTAAGTTCTGAGAATTTGTAGAAAAGATTGAGCTGAAATGAAGACATAGAGGTTCAGTCAAGCCAAGGACAAGATCACATGTCTGCTATAATGGTAGCAGGCTTTAGGAGCTGTTGTAAAGCTCTGTTGAATGTTTCAGGACCAGTGGACATTAGATATTGGAGTATTCCCATTATTGTCTATCTTTTTTCTTGTTTCCTTGCTAAGAACCAAAGCACATTATAGCTTCATTAGGTGCTTGCTTTTTTCTCCGTTGCAGTGAAAATGAACATTGAATAGAATTGGAGATGGAAGAGTTGGGGTCTAGATTTTATGCTGGCTTTTCTACTGCCTTGTAGTACTTTTGACTGTGGGATCTTCAGTTTTCTCTTCAATGAGATTATAAAACTAATTAGATAATTTATGAGCTGTCTTCTGTCTTCAATTCTTTATTCTTCTGAGTTTCTCTCAAAGAAGGTTGACTTGTCTTTGCTCTGTTATCTACCTCAGTCTATTCCTCATGGATCTCAACTGCTGGTACTCTGATATAACTGATCTGTTTCCCAGGTTACTTTGAATTGGAATCTAGTGGGAATTCCTTTGACTATCAATTATGTATTAGGAGACAAAATACTTCAATGAAATAAAGTAATAATCCGTGCTCACCCACCATAGCACTGGGGATTGAAGTTAGGGCCTTTGCGTTGTGCAGCGTCCCCAGCCTTCCCCCTTTTAAAAATTTTTAAATTTTGAGACAGAGTCTTGCTCAGTTGCCTAGACTGGGCTTGAACTTGTGATCATCCTGCCTTAGCCTCCCAGAGTGCTGGGATTATAGGCATGAGCCACCACACCTAGGTATAACCAGTGTTTTCTAAATGTCATTTTTTTTTTTAAAGGATAGACTTGATTAGTAACATATAGTAATGGGACACTTTTGATACTGAGAGGACAATATAATATTAAGTAGTGTACCAGTTTATACTACACTCAGCATACCTGTAAGGCATATTAGGAGAGGTTTTTGATACGGAGTTTAGGGATGGTGAATTTTACAGAGGTTCCATTGTTAGCTTTGTTGTGTTATCCTGCCAGTTCTTTGGTAGTATATAGTATTTAAAAAATAACAAAAAGTTTTAACCTCAAAACTGATGGTAGGAGTTACATTAACATATTCACTAATATGTAGTCTTCAGAGCAAACATTTAATTTTCCTAAATACTTGTGCATCCAAGCACGTACACCTTTAAGTCAGGGTAGCAAAATGTATGAAGGTGACTGCCATTTACTTTGTCTATTTCTGGTAAGTTAAAAAGAAAGGTTTAGAGGGTCAACCAAAATGGTGAAGTGGTAAGCAGCAGAGAAAGAGCCTCTCTTGAGTGTTCATTGCCGTCCAGATGCTGGAATATAGCAACATGAGGAAGATAAGCTGGGAAGTGGGTTTCCCAGGCCCAGGGAACATCCGAGGCATGAATTGAAGCCCATAGGGAGAGTGAAAGGAGAAACTTTAATGATGAGGAAGGAGGTAGCCAGCAGCGCCTTGTCCCTTAGATGGGATTCACTATGTGAGAGGAGGGATTCAAACCTGAGGACATATGGTGACTGCTGTCCTCTATGGAGAGATGTAGCAGTGGAGGAGAGCAGCAGATGTGAAGGACTGCACTAGCTGGTGGTGAGTGCTAAGGGCTCAGTTGTCCCATGGAAGAGAGCAGTTGGCCAGGAGCCATCTTGGAGAGGGGCTGGCTCCATCTAGCTGTTCCCAACTGGGCTGAGGCCTACAGAAGGAGTGCTTGGGGCTGCAGGCTGAATGAGTCTGGTCTTGGCCCAGAAGGTGCAGGATTGCGAGATTATCCACTACCCTATCACAAAGCTACTGCTGGCTCACTGGGATAAATCAAGATGGACTGGGACTCTGTCTTCACTCGTCTACCAATGACAGCAGAGATATACCTGGAAGTGGACATTTTTCTTTCCTTTGTCTTACTTGTTTTTTTGTTGTTGTGGTGGTGGTTTTGTTTTTTTCTGCTTCATTGCTTGATCTTATTTTTATATAAGTGTGACCATGCTGTCTATCCTCTTTGTGGTTCTTGTTCTGTTCTTCTTTTTATCTCTTCCTTCTCTTTTCTTTCAGTCTTCTGCCCCAGTTTCCTGAAGTTGTCCTCCAGCCTTCTAATCTCTTCATCTTCTACTTCTCTATTTTTTCCCTAACCCCTTTTAAATTTTAACCCTTGAGGGTAAAATGGACATATTAAGGGCTTATGTACTGCATATAATTTTTTGGTCTGTTTTAGATTGTGTTATGTAACTACAAATCTGGTTCATATGATTAAAGGTGGCAAATTAATGGTTACCTCAATTTCTTTTCTTTTTTTTTTTGGTTACCTCAGTTTCTAGGCTGTGATTTTTACTACTGGTGTAGCCAGAAGTGACATAATTGTTCTAAATAGTTATTCTTCCTGGTATTCCAAGACTGAAATTGACTAAGGGTCATAGAAAATGCTGTGCACAGTGCCAAAGAACCAGGGGCTGGGCCAAACAGGCGGGAACTTCTCATCCCCAACAAATTGAAAAGGTAGGATCTTGCAGCAGAATCAAAACTCAAAATCTGGGGCTGGGGATTTAGCTCAGTGGCACAGGGCCTGCCTGGCAAGTGCAAGGTCGTGAGTTCGATTCCCGGTACCAGAAAAGAAAAAAAAAAAAAAAACCCCGAAAAACTCAAAATCCAAGTACACCTGTAAAATACCTTGGAGAAATTGTCACTTCCTACAGGTTTTAGTACTAGCAATAAAGCAACCCACAAAAGGCAATTTACAAGCATCACCTCAGGAATTAAACTAAAAACAGAAAAGAAAATGAGAAGACACTTAAACAAGGTGCAGCCCCAGACATTCAGTTCACCAAAGGCAAACCCGGGGTCAATGAGGTTAGATAGTCTGAAAGCCACCCACCTGGTCTCTCTGACATGGTAACAACAAAGCAAGTGAATGACGCTCTAGAAAAAAATCAAATCAGAAATAATTTCCCAGTTAACTGCAGAGATGGTGTCCACAATGAAAACCACGCTTAGTGACTACAGCAGATACAGATAAAAAAAATAGAGGAGCTTAAGAAAGTGTTGGAAGCCGTGATGCTCAGCATAGGAAAGAAATGGAGGGGCTGGGGATTTAGCTCAGTGTCACAGCTCCAGCCTGGCAAGCTGGAGGTCGTGAATTTGATTCCCGGTACCTGGGGGAGGGCGGGGGGAGAAATGTAAGCCATAAGGCAGACTTAATCAAATATCCAGAGGAATAAAAATTCCATTGAAAGTATCCATGGTAGATTAAGCCAATGTGAGGACAGGACCAGGAAGACAAACACAGGCAGGGATAGAGAGAGGGAGAGGAAAGGAAGAAAAGGGTCAGGGAGGCGCAGGGGTAAGGAGGGCTGAGAGAAAGACTGAAAGGAGACGCAAAGAACTTGAAGCAGCCTTCTTCCCCATGCCAAGAAATGGATAGAGCTTACTGGGCCAGGTGTTTGTTGAATTAGTTACATGGTACGTCAAGGAGATAGAAAGGAATGATTGTATAATAAGACTGGAGGTAATTCTTAAGAGTAGGATATTGAAAGGCAATGGAAGGTATAAACCTTGAAGAATAATTTTTTAAAACTTTATATATGTAAAACTGCTTAAGGTTATCAGTATGCAGTCATACATATAATGTGGAATTTATACACTTCCTAATTAATTTTCTCTTTATAGTTTTTTTATTACTTTATAAAAAATAACAAACATCACCTACCCAGTTTTTTAGTAACTTACTTGTCTTACGAGAGATGCATAATTTGAAGCATGTGTTTGCAATTTAAATAATGAAATGTTTCGTTAAAACAGTAGCTTACTAAGCAGACATTTGAGATCTACTTAAAAACACCCAACCTGGTTAATCCCCCTTTTCCCACACTGATGGACAGCTAACTGAGGTAGTGCTACCCGGTGCTGTCAGTCTCAGTTACCTGTGGTGATGGGAAACAGCAGTGCACGGATGAGCCAAAGCGAAATCTTTTCTCAGTATCTTCCTGTCATCCACTGTGGCCTGAGCATGTGCTGAGTTCCTGAGGGAAATGTGGGAGCTGGGCTCGGGCTTGCAAGGAGCTCTGTGAGTCAGTCCAGTGGCCTCAAGGCAGGTGAGGTCTCTCACAGGACTTGGGGGCACTGTGCGGCTGAAGTGTTTTCGGGGAGACGGCAGCATGCGACCGCCATGAGAAGAGGGGAACATGGGTTACTGAGGAGCCATGAGAGAGAGCTGTGCAAGTGCAGTGACTGTGAGCTTCTGGTTCGCAGAGTTGGTGGCAGTTGATAGTATTAACATCAGGTGTACTTGTATTACAGCGGTCTTTGCTACCTGCGTTTTACTTGCTACAGGTGAGTGCTGTCATGGAGGCCTCTTCTAAATAAGAGCAAGTATATTGCCAGATAATTAATGCTTTGGAAACTCAGGACAAATTTGAAATAATTTTCTATTAAAATTCTAATTAAATATCACTGTGGAACCTATACTTCCAAAAATTTAACTTAATGCCTTTTAGTATTGCAGTGTTGAAGAATATTATGAAGACAGTGGTGATTACTGAAAAGTGTGTTTAATTTAGGAAAAACAGAGCAGCCATATTTTTTATTTAAAAATACTGTATAGGAACTTTATTAAATATTGTTAAAAACTGCTGATTGGTTGTGAGTTGATGAATGTTGAAGCTAGGTGATCGGTACCTCACAGGTGGTTTCACTATATTATTCTAATTTGAATACTTGAGATTTTCTACAAGAGGAAGTTTAAAAAATCTTGAAATACGCAATTGTTAAAAACTTCAGATCTTTGGGACCAGATGCCCTCCTTATGTATGGAATAGGTTCAGCATTCATTGAGTTTTTATTCAAGCTATAGATAAAACCACAGCCATTCTCTGAAGATCTGTTTGGTCTATTTTTCTGTCTATAGACCTGCATTTCAGCCTAGTGTGGTAATGGGATGGCAAAACTACATAGTAATACTCTGATTTCATAACCATATATTACCTTCATTATGGTAGACATTTAAAAAAAGTTAACATTGCCAAATAACTGTTTTTAGGTAGTCATTAGAGGCATTAATCTTGTTTTTTTTTAATCAGGGAGTAGGTTGTGCTAGGGGTCAACCCAGAGCCTTGGAGGCATTAATCTTGGGTCAACTCTTGTGAAAAGTTTGGAACTTTTTGCTATGTGAAAGTGAATAATGTAAGAAATAAACTTAAATTAGTCTTCCTTCTGAATCTTTGATTCTCAGCCAGACAGTTTTGCCCTCAAGTGTACATTTTTAGTTGTCATACTCAGAGTGAAGGAGTGCTCACAGCAGTCTGCCTGGACACTGTATACCTTCTCATGCTCAAGACAGACCCCACCACGGAGAGTGTTCAGGCCTGAGCATCAAAGTTCCATGTTGCTGTAAGTGTAGAATTCTTCTGTGGTTGGTCAGGTTTGCATTTCTGAGTAAGTTAAGTATGTTTCTAAAAACTAAGGAGATTAAAAGCAAGATCTCAAAGAGCATACTTTTCTGATGTTTTCTTTTGGCAGGCACAGGGCCATGAGTTCGATTCCCGGCACCCCTGCAAAAACCCCCAAAACTTAAAACAAGATTACTGCCTTGGTCAGTTTTTGATGTAAGCTTAATTTAGACATTTATTGTGGAAGAGTCTTTTGCTTTTAAGACCTCTTAGTTGTAGAGAAGTAGTCTTTGAGCTGGGCATGGTGGCGCACACCTGTAATTCCAGAACTCGGGAGGCTGAGGCAGGAGGATTGTTGCGAGTTCGAGACCAGCCTGGGTTACAAAGTGAGCTCAAGGCCAGCCTGAACTGCATAGTGAGACCCTGTCTCAAAAAGACTGAGAGAGAGAGACAGAGAGAGAGACAGAGAAAGAGAGAGAGGCTTTAAATTTGTTTCAGGTTTAGCTCATGCACAGTGATGGTGAACCTTTTAGAGCTTTCAGTGATTGCAGCCAGCCAGCTGTGGCACATGTGCCATAGGTTCGCCACCACTGTGAGGGGATTCAGAAGGATAAATGATAGCTTTGAGATTCCAAGTAATATTTAATAATGTCAGATGTTTATCATCTCTTGATTGTTACCAGCTACTTCTTTTAGAAAGGAGAAACTGACATGTAGGACTGAGGAGGAGTACACTTGAAAAAAAAAAGTGTCTGTTAATTTGCTTGAGCCAGAAATGGTGGTAAGACATGTGGTCAGTTTTGGTGTTTTAAAAGGCTTTTGACTGCATCCCTCAAAGAAAAAGACATTTCATGTTGTAGCCAGTGCCTCATTCATGTGCATATTTATATATAAAACAGATGTGTTTCAAGAAGCAGTAGTTCCTGTGTGTACTTGCTGTCTTCTGTTCTGTTTCATTTGAAATAATTACTACTTAACCACTAAATTGCAACTTGCAGTTTAAAATATGATGCTATAGTGTATTAATCACGTGAGAAATTCACTCTTCGTTAGCAGATAGAAGGCTATGTAAAAATACATTATCATTTGTACTAAATTAGATCTGATGTGTTTAATGAATCTAAATAAATTAAGGACATGTTTGATAAGGATTATGTCATAATAAAATATAAGCAGCTTTGCCTAATACAGTTTTTCTGTGAAATGCACACTCATTTTTAATATTATATTTTAGCTGCCCCTTTTTTAAATAAAAAGATGTTTAAACACTAATAGAACTTTTAACGTATTTTAAAATATAAGCAGATTAATCAATGGGGCTTCCTTGATCATTGTATTAAGCTACATCTTCATGGAGAGGAAACGTTAGCCTGCATTGAACTTTCCATGCAGGAACCAGTTAATGTTTTAGAGTTTGTGGGTCATAAATTCTCTATTACTGCTGTTTATCTCTGCTGTTGCAGTATAAAAGTCGCCCATAGACAAGTACGCATGTGAGCAGCATGGGTGTGTTTTAATACAATTTGAAGTTTGAATTTCATGTAATTTTGACATACGACATTTTTTGGTTTTGTTTTCCCTAGCCATTAAAAAAAATGTAAATACCACTCTTAGCTTGTGGTTTCTAAAAATTAGGTGGTGGCCATATTTTACCTGTGGGGCCCCACAGTTTGCCAGCCTTCGTGTTGACCTAAAAATGGAAAAAGTTGGTAGTCCGGAAAGGAAAAAATAAGCAAGTGAATATGAACAGCAATGCTAGATCTCTGGCCATTTGTATTTTGATTTTTCTGGATACCAGAGCATACATTTTTGTATTGTCTTCTTAAAAATATTATATCTTACAGACAGTTGATATTCATAAAGAGAAAGTTGCAAGAAGAGAAATTGGTATTTTAACTACCAATAAAAACACTTCAAGGACACACAAGATTATTGCTCCAGCCAACCTTGAACGACCAGTTCGTTATATTAGAAAACCTATTGACTATACAATTCTAGATGACATTGGACATGGAGTAAAGGTAGGTATAGTTTTTGTCAAGCTTTTAAAAATAGTTCATAGTGGAACTCTCTGGAAAGTAAGCTGTTGTCTTTCCTAGAGGACCAAGTCCTGATCTAGTTGTGGCTGTGAAGATTCTTTACTCTTGTAACTTTTAAAAAATCTTTTTTGCTTTTCTTAGTGCTGTGTTCTTAAGTTTTGAAAAGTCTTCGAACAAATTGCATTTGCTTAATCAATTAAAATAATACCACATATAGAACACATAAAGTGTGGTATGATTTTTCTAATGTTTTAATGATTTAATATGACTGAAAAATTATCTGGCATTTTATTAAAATGTTTATCTTCCCTCAAATTTATCAGCAGACTTTTGGCATTAGTTTTCAGAAACAACATATTAATAAACCTGTACTTTGATTTTTTTCCTAGAATTTCTTTTTTTAGGGTGAAATAGTGCAGATAAAGGTACAGTAATATATGAATTAATATTTCTAGTGTTTTTGAGTATGTAACCACTACGTTGCAGCTGGCTTTTATGCCTAGTATGCAGTGGCATCTTCAGAACCGAGCATGGCTGAGGCTGTAGCTGAGAGGTGGCGGGTGCTCTGTGCAAGCGCAGAGCCACCCTGAGTTTAGTCCTCTGTACCACAAACAAAACAAAACTAGCAGGAACACCAGCTACAACTGAGGGACATGTACATTTCGTTTACATTAGTGTTTGTACTGAAAGCGATTTAGAGCCTCAGCTAAGTATTAAGTTATTTGAAAGACAGTGACTTACAAATTGTGACATCTGTGGTGAAACTATATGCAGTTGATTTTTTTCTAGTATGTCTATTTAAATAAAAAATACACCTAGACTGTTAAAGTCAGAAGCCAGAAATAATTAAACCTAAATTTAATGTAGCTCAAGGTAATAAGAAAATATACAGTGTAAAATTACTTTTAAAATCTTTTTCTTCCTTAGAGTTTTGATGTAAGCTTTATTAGTTGGAATTTGATATTTAATTTTATATGCTTTTAGGTTATTTAATTAGAGCATGTTAAAGTATTATATGTAACTGGATAATTAATAAATAACTGAAGTTTATTTTAGCTTGGGAAAATTTATTCAATGCCAACAGCTGTTAATAGATTGTTTTAGGTACTGTCAGAATCTAATGCCAAAAGACATGTGGAATATTTTTTTAAAAATCACATTTGTGCTTGCCTGTTAATGTAAAAAGATCACCTCCTGCAACTCTTGTTTAATCTTCAGAGTAAAATATTCCTGTGGGACTCTGTAGTCCTAGTGTTTAAGGGTACTAATTTGAAGAGATCATTAATGAAATTTTCTGAATAAAACAGTGTCTTAAATAATTTCACCAAAGAAACTCCTATTCATGACACATTCTGCTTTAATCACTCTTTCTGTGATCTACTGAAACATTATTTCGTTAATGCTGAATGCTTAACTTGTTTTTTCTTTGTTTTTTTCCTTTCTCTTCACATCCTGAAGTTCCAACTAACCTTTCAATGCTTTTTTTCCTTACCTCTTTATTTGCTCCATTTATGCATTAAGTGGTTGCTTAGATTTAAGGTAAGAGATTCCAGGGCTGGATTTCCATTCTTTTTCTTATATAGAATATTACATACGGGGAGTAAAGAGGTGGTTGGCACTTGGCCTCTTAAAACCAACAGATAATTCCTCTTTATTTTTTGTCGTGCAACTTTGTGGTGTGTCTTCATGTTCCTCGAGGGTAGATATTTTTGTCTCTTTGTTCGCCACTCTATCTTTTGTGCCTAGAACAGTGCCTGACACAAATTAGATGTTTAGCATTTGTTGAATGAATGGTTATTTTGCAATGTTACTATATTTTGTGAAATGAAAATATAAACTACCTTATCATAAAATGTTATGAAATAAAGTTAGCCGAATTTTTGTAAATGTAGAAATTTTGTTATAGATTAGAGGGCCAACTAATGTGCTTTATTTAACCCTCCCCCTGTGTAATAACCTTTTTATTCTATAAATGGTATCCTTTATTATGTACCTTGTAAACAATATGTCATTATCTTTTGACTCTTAATATAAGGAAATTGAGAAGAAAATATTTACTGTTATGTGTTTTTTTAAAGTTGCAGTATCATATATAAGGATGTTTTTTAAAAAAATAGCTATATACATTTCAGTATAGCTGACTTTAGTAGTTCTTAAAGGTGAACATTGGCAAAACATCAAGAGCTCATGATAATCTGTAATAAAGTGTAAGTTAAGAAATAGACATGGCTGAGGTATTGCTCAGTGGTAGAGCACTTGCCTAGCACGTATGAGGCTGAGTTTGATCCCCGGCACTGCAACAACAGGTGTCTGTGGGAAGAATTAGAGATAATTTTTCCTGTTTTAATTTGTTTTAGTAACAGTTTTGTTATAATGTGTTCCATTTTGGTAGTTTTCAGGATTAATGGTAAAAGTAATTCAGTTATAATGAAGAAGCCTATCAAACAAATTTCTAAAATTATTTTCACCAAATTTAGTATGAATTCTTTCTGTTTTCTTTTTCTTAGCTGAATTTTGTAATTCCTTTCCAAATGTGTGTTCTTTCTTTCTGATGCCCTGTTATTGGCCATGTTCTCCATGTAGTAACCGAGTTGGCTTGAGTTGGAATCACTACCTTGTCCTAACCCAGGCCACAGACTTCTTACTTGGTCTTGGTAGATACATATCACCAGAGGTGCCCAGGCAAGTGTGCTCTGTGCATTACTGATTGGAAGGTTGGCTCTAAACACTGAGTCTTAGTGAGTTAGGCATGTGGGATTGTGGGCACATACCTTGGGCTTGAAGTCTAAAGGTTGCAGCCAACTAAACCAAAAGGACGGTGTGTGGCTTCCTTTACTCTTTTCCTCTAACATCTTTGTTCAGGTTTTGGTTACTGATGCCCTGCCCCCGAACATGATAAATACAGAATGCACCTCATCATGGTCTAGAAATGTCCACATTTGTAATCCATGGAAAACTTACTGGAATTCTACTAAGTTAATTCCAACTTATTACTTCCAGTACAACGCATGGTGAAAGTGAAGATACTAAGGCATATTTGTAGTTGTGGGAAGCCAAGGGAGTCCTAAGGCCAATCAGAACAATGGCTAACTGGAACAAAGGTCTCAACCCAGGCTGAACCAGGGGTTTTATTCATTGGCGAAGAGGGGAGTGGCTTCAGGATGAGTGACTGTGCGAGTGGTGGGAAATATGTGAGTGCTGTCAGCTGGGCTAGGTAGGAGGCCTGAAATCACCTCTGAATATGGAGAGCTAGAGATAGAAAGATGGAGAGAGGGAGAGGGGGAGAGAGAGAGGGAGAGAGAGAGAGAAATTTGCATATCACAGATTGGGTAGTATCTAGTGTTTCAGGGTGGGTGCTTCTGTTTTGATGTGTAACTTTCATGCCCTGAGAAGTCATAGTCTTTTTTTCCCAAGGCTTATTCTTAGAGGCCTACTTCACACATACTACTTGGGAGTTACAGGCGGGACATCACAGACCTGTCCTATAGCTTTTAAGACTACACATCAGCACCTCAGGCTAGATCCATTTACATTGCTTGAAGCCAATTGAGGGGTAAAGACAAAACTTAGCCAGCTCTGTACATACCAATACACAGAAATAGGGCCAGGTTTAGCCAAAATGGAAACAATTGCTCTTCTTCCAAGGAGAGTCGTCCTGGTGGTCCTCCACAATAAGTATATAAAATTCTTGAATCTACTGGATCAAATAAAATTTCTTCTTGATCTTTCAGAGTTTAGGATCTGTTTTCATGTAGGAAATAGGCCCAGCTGAGGGACTCCTAGAGAGATCTAACAAGGTTACACTTAGATAAGATCCTGTAACTTCACATTTAGATAGAACCCCTAGCATCTTTGTTCCCTGCACCAAAAAGCTCTGTTCTGGAAACCCGAAGGATTAGGTCCTGGGTGGGACTGCAGTGGACAGGGAAGAAAGTCCGGCGCTGCTTGGCCAGTTTCCTTCCATCCCAAGTTTGTACAGACACAGCCTACGCGGTGACTTTGGTGTGGTGCTGGGATTGAACTTGACTGTGTGTGTAAAGCAAGTGCTGTACCTCTTGAGTCACAACCCCAGGTCCAGATCCCATTCTTTTTTAACTTGAGTTCAGCTTATGGGTTTCTCTATGAAACCTTCCCCTAACAAGGTTTTCCCACAGCGGTATTTTTTTGTGTGTGAGAGATGTCTATAGAATTTGTAGACATTACCTTTTGTTTTAAAAATACCAGTCATATTTGTTCATTTTCCAAGCCATTGTGTCCCCTACACTCTCATTCTTTCCCAGAGGCCTTTAATTTTGTACTTAGTAGTTTCGTAGGTGGATGGTAATTGAGGGCTGTATCACAGACATCTTTTTATTAGTACATGTTTGCAGTACAGAACTGTGATGTTCACTTTGGGGGGACTTGCTGCATGTATATAACATGTCTTGTTCATTTAACGTGTCTTGTTTATTTTCATAACAGTTTACCTCTCCCTTCCCTGTCTCGGGAGTCTGCCTTGTTTCCTGCTCACACATACCATTTTAGCATGTGTCTGTCACTGTTCTGTTCACCTGTTGCAGCAGGTCATCGATCAGTGCGAGATTTCAGAGGAGGCGACGACTTCTGTGGAATAGATGCTTGGCTGACCAACTTCAAGTCCAGAGGATGCTAGAAAGCAATGCCATTTGTAATGAACCTCATGTTGCATGGGCACATGTCACTTAACGATGGGGCCATGTTCTGAAAACTGCACCAGTAGATAATTCTGGTTTTTGGGCAAAATCCTGGAGAATTTATTTACACAGACTATGACAGCTACAGAGTCACTAAATGATACTTAAGGAATCACTGTTAGAGTCTGTTGATGACACACTGTATAATATATTCAGATTCAGAGAGATATTGAATGCACCAGAAGAATGGAGCATGAAAGCTAGGGCAACGTAGAAAAAATATTAAAGCATAGTAATTGACCTGATGGGTAGTGTAGTTCTCCAGAGCGGGGGAGAACAGACCACCCACTGGCCATCAAAGAGCTGCCTCCATTATTATCTGTACTCCTTCACCCCAGTGGGATGGTGTTAGGACTGTGGCTGTGTGATAACCTTCATGATGTAAATGAAATAGTTCTTCTGTTTTGGAGGTATTCTCCAGTACGGAGAATAAGGGACTTTTCCCACTGTTCCTCCTGTGTAATACCTGCTTCATTTAGCTCGTGATGATTTTCTGTTATCGAATGGAATAGCACCTAAGTCAAGGATTATTGAAATCAGCCCTGAAAACTCCTTTCTGATCCCCTTTGGACAGTGCAGTGAGCACTCCTACTCGTAACTCAGGCCCAGCTTCTAGACATTTATGTGCCAGGTGATAGTTCTGCCCAGGCCTTCTTCCACCTAGAACTACCCCACCCTGGCCCCGGCCCCGGCCCCGGCCCACACTGCAATGCCCAGGCTGGCTTCAAACTCTTAGGCTCCCATGTAGCTGGGAGTATAGGCTCTCAGCACCATGCTTGGCCTTAGGTTGATACTTTTAAACAATTTCAAAAGGAATTACTGCAGTGAAGAGGATCCAGTCTTAGTTTGTTTGTTATTTGTCTTAGTTTATGGTGTGTGCAGACATACATAAACATACACATGTCAAGTTTCCTCTACACATACATAACTTAGTCTTGTGTTTTTCTGTTTGTCAGGAAATGTTTTCTTTTAAACACTTTTCCATAAAATAGTATTGTCCATGATGGCTACCTAATAAATAGGTTTTTTAAAAAAATTTTTATCTGGCACTTATTCCTGTTTTTCAGTCAGTATTTATATTCTGCATAGTGAGTGTATTTATTGTTTTACTTAGCACATGTTTTTCACAAAGGAAACCTGCTTTGGGAAAAGGTTGACAAACTCTTTTTTGCTAAATAGAAAGATACTAGAGTGTCAGGGAAGTACAAAATTAGATTTGATGTGACATAGGAACTCTGCTTTCTTAGGTGATTTGAATCAGTCATCCAGGCCATTAACCAAACAAAATACAATCATTTGAGGACTCTACGGGTCACAAAATGTAGTGAGCTTTTTGTTTATACAAATGCCCACCAGATTTTAATTTATAGATTGTTCATCATCTTACTTTTGAGGTGAGTTATAGAAGATACTGCAATTTAAAAAAAAAACACTTTACATATTGTAACATAAACCAGAGCTGGAAAGTTATTTTCAAATATTTTAGCTATCCCATGTATAGAATAAAATTATCTTTTACTCTTTATCTATTCTTGTTTCTTTTCCTTCCTGTCTCTAGCAATTTGATTTGTAGTTTACTGTTTGGTTCACTTCTCCCTCATCACTTACAGTAACTCTTTGGGTTTTATGTTGTTTAAGGTTGAGCTTAAAGGACTTTGGTTACTACTTCTAAAATCTTCTGGTATCATTAAATTGAGATATACAGTTTAAAAGCTATATTGGTTATTTTTCCCATTAATCTGAAAATTTTCCCCAGATATGGACTGATTAAAAAAAAAGTCTGGCATTTTCATTGTAAGGTATAATTAGTGTATCCTCTGCTTATTAATGAGGGAAAGAGCAAGGATAAGCTAATTTTTATTCTTATTTGATAATTGGTTTTTGATATTATTTAAAAGCAACAATGAAAGGATTACAGATAAATGTTTCACTTAAGAAATACTGACATTTCAAAGGTATCATTTGTCATTAAAGATTGTTTTAACATCACACACAACTTGTTCACTGGACTATTCGTCTGAACAGTTTGTTTCTTGATATGTTATTTCTTGCCTGTTCACACAAGTAGAAATTTAGCACTTTAAAAAAATCCCTCCCAAACCAAAGTTAATTTTGGTAGCCTTAATACTCTGTGTACAATTACGATTTATTTTAAAAAATCTGTATCTTGAAACCACAATTATAAATATATCCTGTCTTTAGTAGAATAATATCTTGCAACTTCATTTTACAAATATTTTAATATTGTACAAATATTGTTATTAGAAAATTGATATCCTTTTTGAAGTGTGTTTTGAAGATGGCAGTCCAAAATATTAGAGGCTTAGGCCGGGTGTGGTGGTGCACACCTGTAATCCCAGCACTTGGGAGGCTGAGGCAGGAAGATTGCTGCAAAACTCAGGCCAGGTTGGGCTACAAAGTGAGTTTAAGGCAAGCCTGAACTGCATAGTGTAACCCTGTCTCAAAAGGACAAAAAAAAACCTAAAATATTAGCGGCTTAGCATAGGGTATGGTATGAACCTGTTCGGTGAACATTATCTAACCCACTGGTAGTCTCAACCAACCTGAGATTATATGGGAACTGTATTTTGAGCGACTTCTTTTAGCTCCATATAAGATAATGAGATTTCTAGGGCTTTCTAAGTGCTGACATACTCCTTTGGTGACATTGTTATTCCCAGATTACCCATCTTTGTTGCCCTACAGTTTCAGTTGGGAATAGAATAGTGAATGGAGTCCTGGTGGCTCTGGTTTAAGGACTGTGTCATACCTTTCTCATGCTGGAATTAACCACCATGGGCCTCAGTAGCCCCAATTCCCATTGGAACGAGGGCATTGGCAGTGGCCCCTGGGGTGCTCACAGTTGAGCGGGACACATCAGCCCTACTGCATGGGTCAGGTGTTTAGGAATATACCCTGAACTTCTAGCAGTTTTCAGGTAGGTGACTTCCTCATGAGAGAACATTAGAGAAGTCTGAATTGTTGTAAGGGCAGTTGACAGTTTAAACAAGTTTTCTCTATAAATGCAGCTTGTATTCTCTAGTTACGGTGGATCATAGTCATAGCTGCATCTTTGTAGTTGGAAAATGTGTTTTATGGTATACTTGCTATCTAAAAAGAATGAAGTGCTTAAAGGCTTCATTGTTTCTGATTGAGTTACTTTAGAACTAAAATTTTTACAGTTACTCTTATTTCATTTCAGTTGAATGAAATATCAAATCATCTAACCAGTGATCTGTTGGTGTGATGGCCTAATGGCAAATAAATTCTTTGCATACAAGTTGATAATCATTTGAAGATATCATGTTAGGAAGAGTCCTTTGAGTACAACTGTAGAATGATAGAGTAGAAATCGCAAATGAAATGCATGGCCTCTAATTTTTTCCCTCTATTTAAACCTTCCCTCCTTTGTTAAATAGCTTAGCATTGTTTCCTTAAAGTGCCCCTTGATTTTATTGCATACAGGTTGAGCTTTCCTCGTATTTTTTAGGTGAGTACCCAGAACATGAAGATGGGTGGGCTGCCGCGCACAACACCTCCAACTCAGAAGCCACCCAGCCCCCCTGTGTCAGGGAAGGGGACACTTGGGTGAGTACATGACTAAGTAATAGTACAAGCATTTCACACGCACAAACACAACATATATTTAAATGATTTTTGAATGTTTAAAGAGACAACATTATCTTTCTAGGATTATTTTTTTGTGTGTATATAAGCTTTCCTTTTTCTGGGAAGCACATGTTTCTATTAAAAAAATCTGTTTAGAAATTGTTTTTCTAATGAATTCTAAATTGATAAAATCCTGGCAGTTCATGCTTTATTATAAACTGTAATCTAATTTTAATTCATGTATTTTTTCTAGAAAATTTTATAGTACTTTTACAGTTGAATTTAGACTATCCTTCTCAATGAAGGTTGTATAGATTATAAAGTTCTGTATACCATGTCATGATACTATTAAGCTTTGATTTAGCACTACAGAATTGGGCTCTGGATTTGACTTTTAGCAAAAGTTGTCAATTCACAGAAGAGGTTGACTTTTTTCTTAAGTAGCGTCATAGTATAAGCTTGGTTTATCACAGTCAAGATTTGTGATCAGGTGGGCATAGTGCAGCCCAGAAGCCAGATGACTTGACATTCTGGTTTATCGCTACCATTTGCGCAATTGTTCTGCATGCTCAGCCTCTCAACAGTTCAGTTTTTTCATCTGTAAAAGGGGGTAATATTTGTCCTCTATCAACTTTTCAGGGTCACTGTACCATAAATTGGATTTTAAAAGATTATATAAGACAAAATGTTTGACAACCATTGGCTTTATGATGTATATTCTAAAAGTTTTAAATTGGCAATCCTGTTTTTAGCCCCCTCACCAAAAAAAAAAGAGAGAAAAAGAAAATATCCCCCCAAAACAAAATCCAATCAAGCACCATAGATGAGGACAAGACAAAAGTAAGTTGGGGTGTCAAGGAGGATGCTATTGGAAGAGGAATTACAGTTAGGACAGTGAGAAACAAAGAATAAAAATGATTATCAACTAGGAGTAGGATGACTTTATCTGAGGTGGTCAGAAAATTTCTGCTTAGAATAGACAGGAAGGGTCCTGATGGATCATATAGATTTGATCTTCAGGTAGAATGATGCTGCTGTAGGATATAGTAGTGCAGAAATAAGAGTAGAGTGATCAGGAGGAGCTACGTTCCTGTGGAATGTTTGCGTTTGTACTGGGTGTATAGTGCCTAATGGATTTTGTTAGGCTTGCAACCAAGATTCTTTGATTCTTATAGTATGATATAATTCTGTATGGTGTATAGTGCCTAGTGGATTTTGTTAGGCTTGCAACCAAGATTCTTAGTATGGTGGTGCACACCTGTAATCCCAGCACTCTAGGAGGCTGAAACAGGAGGATTGCCAACTTTGAATCCAGCCTGGGCTACTTACTGAAGGTCCTGAGTTCAATCCTCAGAAACAGGAAAAACAAACAAAAAAACACCCAACAAAACAAAAGCAAATTATTAGTAAGATACCTGCTTATTTTCTAATAAAATAAACTTTTCTCGTGCTCACAAATTTTGAAGATTTGCTCATATCCTAGTACTTGTTTTCCTTGGGCAACAGCGGTGGTTCTGCAGGACCCTTGGAGACCAGGATTGTTGAGGACCACTTGGCCAGTTAATGGTAATGGTCACGGACTGTGCTTTCTAGTCTCTGATTAGTCACCATATTTTGTTCCCCTCTCGTGTTCTTTTAACGTGTTCTTGTCATTCTTTCACTCCGTTCACAATTAAGATTTTTTTTTTCTTAGATGAAACAGAGCATTTTTATTGTCTGGGAAACATTGAACATTTAAAAAAGTGTTTGGAAATTCTGATTTGTTTTTATATTTGTATTATGATTTTAGTGATACAGTTTTAGTATTTTAAATCCAAAGTCCTGACATTAATTTTTTTTTTCTTTTTGGTTTTTCTCCGGTACTGGGAACCGAACTCACGACCTTGCGCTTGCCAGGCAACCGCTTTTGCCGCTGAGCTAAATCCCCGGCCCAGTTTTCTTTTTTCTTTGATCCGTTTTCCCATCTGGTCCCCCTTATTTATTTTTAATTACCAAAGTATGCATTTATGTGAAGAGACTTTGAGGATCGTAGATTTAGCAGGGTCATTACAAAATCCTGTCACTCAAAGTTAACAAGCGATGCATTGAGTGGCCCTGGAGGATATTCTCAGAGAAACTCTGGGAGCCTTGTAGAACGAATTACAAAGTACATGTCAGCCGAGCCAGCATTACTTGAGGAGAAGACAATGTTAGTTTTCGTGTCTTGAGGTGCCAGTTTTTATTCTTTTAAAGACCAGAATCTCATCTTCAGGATGTTAGTTTCATACTTACCACTGTCACAAAGGATTTGGAAACTTTAAATGGAGACGAAAAGTAATTTAGTAGTCACTAATGTTCCAATATGCACCTTATTTTATGATATAATTCTACATTTGCTATCTTACTCTTTTTAACTTTTTCCTTTAAAAGGAAAAGTTGGGAAAAAAGAGGGAAATACATGTTAATAACTTTAGTTTCACTTGTATTTTACAGTGCGGCATAATGAAGTAAAAGGATTTAAGTGTTTTTATTTTCTTGATACGGGTTTTGCTGTGTTTCCCAGGCTGTTTTTGAACTGAGGGGCTCAGTGACGATCCCACCTCAGCCCCTAAATACTGACACTGCAGGTGTGCACCCGCTAGCCTTGCTTTTGTGGTCTTTTAGATTTTTTTTTTCTCCTCTTCATAAGTGTGGTGGAACCCTGAGGAGGGAAAGAGGAAAGAGATCAAGGCAGAAACTGAGAAGGTCAGGTTGTGAGAATGGAAGATGAGATAAAATCGTATATTTTTGTGTTTGAAATACTTCACTTTCTGTGTATTCAGTATGTAAAAAGTTGCGAAATGACTTGTTATGGCTGGTATTGATCATAAGTGTGGGTTGTGGACCCAATATCTTGATTTGTTGTCCCTGTTCAAACATCTTGGGGAAGGAGAGAGGGGAGAGGGAGATCATTATTAGTAACTTCATGCAGTGCAATGCGAGACTGACGTGAGAAGTACAGGACTAAAGTAGCTCTAAGGAAAGGACAGTGTCTAGGAAACATTGGCTTCAATGGTGGAGAACCTTTGTGCTCTTGAGAATAAATGAACAAAATTGCATTAGCACAGGGAAATGAAGCTGGAGGTTGAAAAATAACAGCACGTACTCAGCAGAACTCTAATGGTGGAGAGGTGATAGAAAGACTGGAAAGACTGAAATTGGTAGCTGGGTCAAAGCACATTCTGTGTGTATGATTACAAATCGTATTTCACTACAGGCAGCTCTTTGAATTGACTGTGCCGAGACTGCTTAACCACACCATACATGCGCTCTTCTTTTTGTAGGCGGCACTCCCCCTATCGCACACTGGAGCCAGTGCGTCCTCCAGTGGTACCAAATGATTACGTACCTAGCCCAACCCGTAATATGGCTCCCTCGCAGCAGAGCCCTGTGAGGACAGCTTCTGTGAATCAAAGAAATCGAACCTACAGGTATTTTCTCTACCTCAGCGCAAAATGTGATGGTCACAGCACCATAATCTGCTCGGATCACTTCAGTGGAGCTTCCCACCTTCCAAATGCTTCAGTCTAAGCTCTTTTCCTCACTCTGCTCTCCCAAACCTCATCTGATTCCATCTCTCTCTCCTCATTTCTGATGCCACTTTGAGCAGTCAGAAAGTTGGAAACAAGCAGACATCTCAAAGTGCAAACTTTTACACAGAGATAATAATTTAGTTGATCTGAAAAAAATTATGGACCAGATGTGGCAAACTTCAACTTGTTTTTTGGTGGAACTTTACAGATGAAAAACTATACATAACAAAACACTAGTATGGGATAGTATAACAAGATATTATAAACTTAAATAACTTGTTTAGGAAAATGTTCTTGTTATGTTTCTTCAGATAGGCATTAAACTAGAATATACAAAGATAATATTTTGTTGAGCTCCAACATTTTTGACTTACATTTGTGGAGAATGTTTTTTCTTTCTCATTTTCCTTAATACGTCTTATTAACAGATGTTAAAACAAGCTTAATGAACTCAGCCTTTTCCCTAGTTTTAGTACAGAATTCATATATGAAGTGGCTTTTTATCTTTTTTGTAGCTATGTTCATTGTAAAACATTTTGGGAAATGCTGATGCTCTCTTCCTGTATCTAAATACTCATATTTCGGTGGCTCTGGTCTCTTCAGCAGCAGTGGGAGTAGTGGAGGAAGCCACCCCAGCAGTCGGAGCAGCAGTCGGGAGAACAGTGGAAGTGGGAGCGTGGGGGTCCCTATTGCTGTCCCCACGCCGTCTCCTCCCAGTGTCTTTCCAGGTAAAACCCTAGCGGTGCTTTCTCTTTGCTTTCCTGTCATGAGTTTGAATTCAATTTGAGATTGAATTACAGTGCGCTTTCTTCTTAATCAGAATTCTCTTATTCCATTAGGATCTCTTGAGTATTGGAAAGTTTGTATGTATTTGTTATTTTAACGAAGTGCTGTAGCTTGTTTCTGCGCTCTCTGCGTGTTTCTGGTACTTAGTTCGGTGCCTTTGGTATGAGTTGCGTGTTTAACTCCAGCTGGTGTTATAACAGTGCGTGTCTTTGCACACAAACTTGGTGTAAGAAAAATAGAAAAAAAAAGTATTTTGAATTTAGTAGTCTCTGGAATGCTACCCTTTTTCTCTTAAATAGAAAAATGTGTTCATTTGAGCTGAGGAAACAGTGTTAAATTTTAATTTTAAAACCGTAACACAAGACATCCGGTTAGAATATTATGTACTTAACCTAGTAACAAGTAGGTAATACCTTTTAACAAATCATGAAAAAAGATTTATGGGTTTTTTAAAGTTCTTTTTTACCTGATAAGATATTATCTGGAATATATATCCTATTTCCTGAGTTGCATAATTCAAGTGGAATATTGTTTTAAAAGTGTATTATGTTTAATTTTGTATACTATTTACCGAACATTATGTTAAAATAACTATGCAGGGAGCACTTTTTTCCAGATTAGTGGCTTTCAGGTAAAAAAGGAAGGTCTCCTTTTTAAGTGACTTAAAAAAAAACCTGAACGTTTGCCCTGCGCATCTGGAATTACTGTCTGCACACTAATCGGCCTTTACCCTCAGCATCACGCTGTTTCGCCTCTCTCGGTTAGCGGTGAGCCCTGAATGTCTAACACGAACTACTCTAACGCCTTTTCTGACTCTGCTCCCTAACCCTAACCTGCCTCTGCTCCTCTTTCCCTCAGCCCCCGCTGGCTCTGCCGGCACTCCTCCCCTGCCTGCTACTTCCGCCTCTGCCCCTACCCCTCTCGCTCCTGCGGCCGCCCCCTCCTCCGCCGCCCCAGACGCCGCTGCTGGGGGCGCCCAGACCCTGGCTGATGGCTTCACTTCTCCAGCTCCCCCTGTTTCTTCCAATCCACCTACCGGTGAGTATTGGCTCGTGCCAACGGCAGGTCCGGGGCCTGGCTGTTCTCTTTCCGGAACACCAGCGTTGTGATTTTACTTGGTTTGGCTGTACTTTGTATTACAAGATAGGAGGAGTAATGTACTTCCTGGAAACGGCATGTGACCAAAGATTAGATTTCCTGGGAAAATGAGAGTAAAGTTTCTCGTCCATTATCCAGTAAGGTAGTACAAATAGACATTTTAAGAAATTGTTTCAATTTCATTTATTAAGATTTGTGAATTTAGTGGGGAGCTACCTTGTGTATGGTTCTGAGAAATTATCGTTAGAAATCTTACATATTCCAAGGTATATTTTATAGGAAATATTTTAAGTAACAATTTGAAAGCCTCCGTAAGTCTGTCTATTGCTTATTTTAGCAGCGCTGGAAACTGGAAACTCAAAAGACAGTGAACAGCTCAGGTTTATTTGAGTTGACTGGTGTTTTAGTGTTTTAAAACTGCAACCTAAAATGTTTGGATGGGGCATAAGGTAAAGACTCAATTGCTACAAAATCCATTGGAACAGTTAATGTGAAACTGGTCAGTAAGCAGGTTCTTAAGTATTATAAAATGTGTGTGAACTCATCACCTGGTGTTTCGCCTGCCAGTGAAGTACTTTGCAGAATAAATATTCAGCTTTGCTTTCATAGCCAGCTGTTCGCATGTTTTACAAGATACCTTTAACTAAATTGGATTTTTTATAGTGTTCTATTGGAATAGCTTCTATAATAGTATTTGTAAAGCTTTCTGGAGGATAAATGTAAACATTATTCCTTGTTCTAAATATGGTAAACTTGTTAGACCAAACTAGGTAGTTAAATATCAGAATCTTGTGTTCTTATATCAATAAGGAATATGTCTTGACTTTGCCTATAGACTAGAAAGGGCAGATTGCCCTGAACTGAGCTTCAACCTTTTAGTAATTGGATAATAATTTAATAACAGATGCTTAGCTCATAGTGTTCATTAACTAAATATTTGTTACGTGAGTGTCTTAGCTACTTTTTTCTCTTTGCTGAGACAAAATACCCAATGCCCAAAATTAAGGAAGGAAAGGTTTATTTAGCTTACAGTTTGTGGAGGTTTTAGTTTATAATCAGCTGGCTCCAAGGTAGGGTGGCAGGATTAGGGGCAACACTTCCAGGGAGCACAAGACAGCAAAAGCAGCAAGAGCAAAAAGGGGGAGAAGCAAGCCTCTTTTCCCTCCTTGTACTTGGGCCATCTGCCTGTGCCAACACCATCTCCCTGCCGTCCTCTTCCATAAACTGAGGATGTTTACAAAGTAAGGACCATGGCCCACTGCTGAATCACTTTGAAGTTGAACTTTTAAACTTTTCAAGGTGACACAGTGAGCAACATCCTAGAGCAGCAAGGGCATGTCTTTTTCACCCCAGGATGTAGAACTTTTAAGTTACTTAGTTAAGCTTCTAGGCTCCTCAAGTTGACACAGTGTATCCACCATAACAACCCACCCCTTGTCAACTTCCCAATCAGACACATTTTTTAAAACCAGTTTTAAGATACAAAGACATTATTTTTATCTTTTTACAACTTAAACCTTATAACACAGGTTTAACAATCTTTAAGAACCATTATTAAGTCTGTCAACATTGTATTACACTAGAACGGTAACATTTTGTCCTTGGCCCCCCAAAGACTCATGTACATCACTTTTATGTAAAAAACATTTAGTCTAGCTCTAAGAGTTGTCAAAGTCCTAACAGTTTTAGCATTGTTGAAAGGTCCAAGTACCAAGTCTCCTCTGAGATGTAAGGCAAACTGGTTGCAAGCTTCTGTACAAATGAGAGCTTGTTTGAAGTTTCTAGCAGGGGAGCACAACTACTCATATACCCTTGACCAAGGAACGGTCCTCCTCTATCGGAAGTGGTCGTCCTCTTCAACTGAGTGCGCAGCTTCAGGAGGGACGCACATGGAGCGTTGAGGGAGGAAGGGGATACCTGCCTAACCAGCCAGATCAGCCGAATCAGCCCTGGCTATTAATGGGGTGACAGATGTCACAGCCAGAGCGCCCTCACATCCTGTACAAATGAAAAGTTAAACACTTTTAACATTTAATGGCACAAAATAAGTATTTTTATTTCAAAAGTTACAAACAGGAATACAAAGGAATGGGACCAAAGCAAGTCCAAAGTCCAGCAGGGCAGACATTAATTACTGTAGTTCCACGTCCAACATCTGAAGCAATCTGTGGCACATTGTGAACTCCAAAGGGCTTGTGTGACTCCAACCCTTTTGGTAGTTAGAGCTTCCATGGCTTTTTTAAAGGCCCACTTTGCTCCCTCTTTGCAGCTTTTTTTTTTTAGATGATCCACGTTTTGGGTTTTCTTTTTTAACCTTTTGAGGTCTCCACTGCATTTTAGGCTTTTTATTTACAGCTTTACATATCGCCCTGTCAGGGGCATACTGCCTGGCCACCCAAGCCTTCTTGAGTCTAAGTGGAAGCCTTCTTAACCTCAGAACTCTTGCATTTTTATGTGCCTAAAACCAGTGCTATGTGAATGTGTTAAGGTCTGCTGCCACCTGGAGCAGGAGCCAAGTTTTCCTCTCCCTTGGCCATAGTGGTCGAGTACCTGGATTGCTGGGCACTGTGAATCTAATTTTGAGGAACAAATTCTCTATGCTATTGCCATTTTGGAACCTGGTGTGGCCACCAGCGCCATTCTGGAATGTAGCACCCTGTGGCTTTCTTCTCAAAGCAAATCCTTTCACCTTTGCAGTTTTGAGGCTATAAAAGGTAGAGGCTTTTTTTTTTTTTTTTAATGCCTTCAGGCCATCTCTTTGATTTTTTTTTTTTTTTTCTTGTTTTTCCTCAGCAATCGTATCTCCTCTGTTCTATCTTTATAGTCCACAGCTTTACTGGAGCTTTCTTTTTGTCCACTCACAACATTTTAAATCATCCTCTTGGGCTGTTTGCTCTTGATTCACAACATAAATCTGGCTAAAAGCCCCTGACAATAGCCATGCCACAGCCTCAACATTTGACTGCCTTGAAATTTTTTTTGTCACATTAATTAATCTGCCGCCCTTAATCTCATTCTCAGGCAAAATCTCTGGACATAAGCAAAATGCAGACAAACTTTCTACCAAGCCATAACACACATTGTCTGGAGTCCAATAACCAAGGTAGTCCTTCTTCCCAGCAGAAACCTCCCGAGCCTGGTCTGTATTGGCAAGATTTTTATCAGCCTTTTGGTCTTTTGAGCTCTGTAGATAATGTTTTGTGAGAAAGCACAGTTTTTTAAAAAAGTAAAATACAAGATACATGTCTTAATACTTTATATCAATATAATCTCTTTTATATAGTTGCCTCTTTTTTTGTGGTGCTGGAGACTGAACCCAGGGCCTTCACACTTAGCCACATTCCCAACCATTTTTCTTTCCTTTTTTTTTTTTTTTTTTTTAACTTTTTTTTGTTTTTTGAGACAGGGTCTTCCTGTGTAGTGCAGGCTGGCCTTGAACATACTATGTAGCTCCGACTGGCCTTGAATTTATGGCAATCCTCCTGCTTCAGCTTCCCAAGTGCTGGGATTGCAGGCATGTGCCACCCCATTTTAAATTTGAGATAGGGTCTCATAGAGTTACCCAAGTTGGGATTGAATTTGTGGTCTTCCTGTTTCAGCTTCCCAGAGTTTTGGGATTACAGGTGTGTACCACTATACCTGGTTTAAAGTTGTCTTTGAATCACCAAGTACTGTTTGATAAAAAATAAAATTCACCTTTTTAATGTGTGTGTATTTGAGTGTTTTGACAAATGCATATATAATCATGCAGCCACCACCATAGTCAAGATATAGCATGGTCTTATTATCCCGGAAATGTCTGTTGTGCCCCCTTTTAGCCAGTCCTTCGCCAAGCCTCTGGTAACCCTTTGACTGGTTTTTTGAAGTCCCTCAAGTTTTGCATTTCCAAGTGTCATATAAATGCAAGCGCGTGCTACGAACTTTTTGGGTCTGCTGTTTTGGTCTGGTGTTGGAGATACAGCCATGTTGTTGCATGTTTATGTATTTTCTTTTTATTTCTGCACAGTGTGCTTTTGTATGATGTGTCAGAATCTGTCTCTTTGCCAGTTGAAGGCCATTTGGATTGTCCTTAGTTTTGAGTGCCAAATAAATTCACATACGGGTTTCTATGTGAACACAGGTTTTATTTCATTTAAGTACCTAGGTGCTAGGATTGCTAGCTTATAGTATAAGAAAATGTTGGAACTTTTACAGAAACTGCCAAATGGTTTCCCAAAGTGGCTTTAAAATTTTGTGCCTCCGCCAGCAATGTGTGAGATTTTTAGCTGCACCCTTATCAACACTTGGTCCGTTGATTTCTGTTTGTAACGTCAGCTATTCTGATAGATATGTGATGTTTGTCGTGTGGCACCAACCCCTCATCTTTTTTTTTTTTTTTTTGAGGTGGGCATTGTACTGGTTATAACCCCAGCCCTTTTTATTCTCTTAGTTTTAAGATAGGCTCCTGCTAAGTTGGCCAGGCTGGGCTCAAGCTTGCTGTTCTTGGGCCTCAGCCTCTCAGAGCGTTCCCCATCATTTTCATAAGTTTTTTCCCCTTATCACTGAGTTCTTTTATATTTTGAATTCTTTATCAATGATGTGAATTGCAAATATTTTCTTCCATTTTGTGGGTTAGTTCATATTCTTAATGGTGTCTTCCCAATAGCAGAAGCTCTTAATTTTCATTAAATCCGGTTTGTCTTTGTTTTTTTTTTGCTTCTGTGGGTTGTGAATTTGTGAGAACTCTTTACCTGTGGTCATACATTTTTATTTGTGTTTTCTTTGCCCGGCTCTGTTCTACAAGTTTTTTTTTCCTCTTTTTTTGGTGCTAGGAATTGAACCAGGACCTCATGCTTGCCAGGCAGGCACTGTGCCACTGAGCTATGTCCCTGGCCCTCTTCTACAAGTTTTAAATTTCAGGTTGTGTAATTAGGTCTATGATAATGAGACAGGTTTTTTTAAAGCCCTAAGCAAGGTAAATTCCATATTAATATTACAGATAGTATTTCTTTCATGCATTGTCTTTGAATCATTGCAGATTTCTGACTTAAATGAGAATTTAGACTGGATCTAATTGTATTAAATTCTTAATAGTATTAATCACCAAATGTATTTAACTTGAAGATCCTAGTTCGTTTTGGATTTAATTATTAAGTGCCACCATTGTGTCTCTGTCCAGTGGTTCAGATGGCTAAATGTGGTTTGTCCACCTGCCCATCTGTTCCTCGTGGTTGCTGAGACTGCTCAGTTGATAGTGGATTAGGTGTAAGCTTCAGTACTCCAGCTTTTATGCAGCAGAGTTGAGTTGCAGGTTTTAGTACATACATGAAATGAGTAAGTAGGATAGTAAATTTTGAGCGCTGTGTTTTTGCAGTATTCTTTATATGACTCCTTGCGGATCCAGCTTTTATACATTTCTGGGGTTCCTGCAGTGCAGTTTGGTGATGTAGACCGTTCTCTAAGCATAGGTAAGAGGACAGATTGTCAGAAGGATTTCCTCCCTCTGCTCCCTTCCCTGCCTTTCCATTCTTCTCTTCGTTCTTGCCCCTCCACCTTTCTTCCCCTCTGCTTCCTCTGCTCTCTCATTTCTCCGTTGTCTGTCTCCTGCTTGCTGAGTGTTCTCTCCGGAGTGTTCTGGTGCTCTTTCTATAACAGGTCCTCAGCTGGTTGGGGCGTAAATGGGGCCAAGTAAAGGTAAAGCCAAGGTACAGTTTGGAAACTGGCAGGATGTGGTGGTACATGCCTGTAATCCGGTAAGGAGGTACAATCCTGTAATCCTGTAAAGCTGGTAAGGAGACTGAGGCAGGAGGATCTCAAGGACAGGCTGGGCAATTTAGTGAGACTCTGTCTCAAAATAACATTTAGGAAAAAGGGGCTGGTGAGATGCTCAATGCTATCATGCTTATCTAGTTTGTGCAAGGCCCTGAGTGGGGTGGAGTGGGGGATTCAATGCCTAGTATTGAAAAAAAAGTTAGGAGCTGGATTGTATTGGAGATTGTATGGATCAGGGAAGAGTTTGCAGTTGGCATTAGCTGTTGAACTCTGAAGAGCAAAATAAGGTGAAATTGATGGGTACACACAGGTTCAGACGTGATGTTACAAGTAACACATGTGTCCACTCACTTTTCCTAGTTGTAGATTTCATAAACTAATTTTAAGACAATAAGTAACTTTTGAGATGGGTATTTTTGATTGGATAAAGATACATCTGATGTGGAATTATGTCATCAGACTTTTTGCTGAAATAGTTTTCCTTTAAACAAATTTCTTTGCTACCTTAATTGTATTATTTCTATCATTATTATTATTTTGGAGTAAGATTGTGTACCAGATATTTTTCTCTTTCCTTTCTCAGTGTCATTCTTACTGTGTTTAGTTTCCAGTGTTGAGTGGCTGCTTTTTTTTTAGAGGAAAGGGATTGTCTTAGTTCATTTTATGCTGCTATCAAAGAACACCATAGATGAGGTAATTTATAAACAGTAGAAACCTGCTTCTCGCTGGGCTTGTGTGTAATCTGACTTTACAGATGCATGTCTCTAATCTCAGCATTGTGGGAGGCTGAAGCAGCAGGATTACAAGTTCAAGTCCAGCCTGGGCAACCCTATGTTCAATCCTCAGGACAGCAAAAACAAAACAAAACAAAGCAAAGCAAAGCAAAACAAAACAAAAGCAAGCTATTTCTGTAGGCGGATGAGAAGTCCAGTGGCAAAGGCAGAGTATCTCTTTATCTGGTGAGGCCCTCCCTCCTGTGTTGTGTGTGGAAGGCATCACAGGGCAGGAGTGAGCCAGAAGAGACGAGAGAGGGTGGCAGGCAGGCGAGCTCACCCTCTCCTCAGGAACCTACTCCTTTCCTGTGAGCACGTCCTTGTCACTGCTTCAAGGTCCCAGCTTCCTGCTGTTGTCCTGGGTTTCCGGCAGAAGAGCTTTGGGGCCCAGTCAAACCATAGCACCCGCCAAGGATTTGAATTAATTGTCATGATTTTGGAAACCCCATAAATGATTGGTAAAACCCTAATGTTAGCTAGTTATCTGTTTAGATGTAACTTTTCCAAACTCAGTCCTTTTTTTGTTTTTTCCAGTACCGTGAATCAAACTGATGACCTCACGCTTGTTGGGCAGGCGCTTTGCCGCTGAGCTAAATCCGCAGCCCAAACTCAATCCTGTTTCGTTTGTTTCTTGCTTTTTTGTTAAGCTTTAATTTTTATCTGTCCATGTTTGCAGTGCACAATGGTGACATTCATTGTAGGGATTGGTACATGTATGTGACACATCTTAATTCTTTTCTTCCCCTTTCCTCTACCCCCTTTTATTTTTATCTTCCTGTTTTTGCCCTTGGATGCAGTGCCAGCTGAGCGATACCTTTCCTCTTGTGTTGATTTTCAGATAGTAATATATTGGGCTAAACATTGCTATTTTTAATAATTTTAGTATGATTTGGGCAGTACACATACATTTCCTCTTCTGAGATCTTGTCTTGTCCATCTCTCCAGGCCATCCTGTTCAGTTCTACAGTATGAACAGGCCTGCCTCTCGCCACATGCCCCCGACCATCGGGGGCTCCCTGCCCTACCGACGCCCTCCCTCTGTAACCTCACAAGCCAGCCTTCAGAACCAGATGAATGGTGGACCTTTTTATAGCCAGAATCCAGGTGAGCTTTTCTTTTGCATTTTATGTAATGTATCTGTTTACATAATCTTCAGTTAAAAAAACCTTTACTTACAAATAATTGGCACATGGTAGGTGGTGAGTAGTACTATTTTTGAATGAGTGACAGAGTGAACACTTGGTTGCATTTAATACTGTATCTTTCACCTCTCTTAAAATCATTGCATTATTTCCCTGTAAAGTTGTAGAAGTTAATATTTCTGAGAATAGTAGAATCCTTTTTTTTTTTAGTGGAATCCTTTTGAATGTGCTATTGGTTACTTACTTTTAACAATAGTATTGGGCTAGAGGGGTGGCTGTGTGGCAGAACGTTAGTTCAGAATGTGCGAAGCCCTGGGTTTGAACCCTAGACCCCTCCCCCAATAAAAAACCCATGGAGAACTGTGGTGAATAATACTTCTTTTTTATTTAATGATACATCCTGTTTTGTGGTTTACAGAAAATGAAAATTGGGTGTACATGAAGCTCTTTTGTGCTAGTCAGTTACACTACCGTATCAGTTATACTATTGTATTTGGTTCTTAAACCAAATCTCTCGTGGAAAAACTGGGCCTTGGAGAAATTGACCCAAATATAACAATTATAACTGCATCATTCATACAGAAAAACTAATCTAACATGTATTAAATGCTATACATGTTCATTATTTTGCTTATTCCTTAGAAAGAGCAAGAGCAAATATTAGATATGGTCCATCAACTTACTTTACTTCTTAGAGTTTTGTCAGCAGCCCATTAAGCCGGTGTGTGGACACCTCTGATTAGAGTTCAGCCCATTCCATCTTTGATTTTTATGGGGCTGAAATTTACCTACCATGGTTACTACGTATGAAAGTAGTATAAACCTTTGATCTTCCTTCTACAAAAACATTTATTTATTTATTTTTTGTCTTTTTAAGACAGGGTCTCACTATGCAGTTCAGGTTGTCCTTGAACTCACTTTGTAACCCAGGCTGGCCTCAGACTTTCACTGATCTTCCTGTTTCAGCCTCCTGAGTGCTGGGGTTACAGGTGTGCACCACCATGCCTGGCCCTTACATAAACATTTATAATTTAAAGAATGCTTTTTTATTATTTAGTTTTATTTTTGTAATTCATATACAAAACAAGATTGGTGATCTTCTTCCCCTGAGCAGTACAGTGGTATCTTGGTTCATGAATTTAATTCATCCTACGATTCAGGGGAAGGTGGCCGTGGTTGTGTTCGTCACCCAATGCAGAGTTCACAAACAAAAACAAAATTTTGCCAAATGCATCTGTTTGTAAACTGAACTGTTCTCAACCAGAAGCATTTGTGAGCCAAAATGCTACAGTATTTTGCATATGAAACCAACTCAAGATGGTATTTCATCTTAGGTTTTTTGACTCTATAGTTTCATGTTCTTTCTGTTTTGTCTCACCTACTTTCAGTTTTTAAAACTTTTCCTGTTACCCTCCCAGGTCTTCTCTTTTTTGGTCGGGGAATGCTAAGTACATTAGGAGCCTGAGATCTTGTCAGTCTTTTTATGGATAGTAGCTATATTCCGAGAATTTTGTTCAATAATGGTTGGATATTAAATGAATCCTGTGTTCCCTTATCCAGACTTTGCCACTGATTTGGATCCGTCTTACAAACTAAGTGCTGTATTTGTAGTCCATTGAATACAAACCATAATTGGTATCAGTGACCTTATTTGAAATGTGCCCCTTACTCATCTCTCACTACACTTAATGTTCTAGGCTAGGCCTTTTTAAAAAACTCATTTGCAGCCTAAATTTTGACTAAACTGCCTGCCCTTTGTCAGACATTCTGCTTTTAAACCATATTTTCCAAACCCGTACGTTTTCAAGTGCTGTTTTGTACATAGATTCACTTTTTAGTTTGTTTTTGAAATGGAGTCTCTAACTCATAGGCTTAAATGATCCTCCTGTCTCAGCCCTTGAGTAGCCTGGGACTACAGGCCCAACTTTTGAGTGGAATTTTTTAGTCTTAAATTATACCTTATTCAAGCTAGCCTGTTTCATAATTGTGCTGAAGATGGACTCCCTTGGCAAACTTGGAGTCTACACCATTACTGTTTATGGCCCTGTGTACCTTCCTTATTCTTAGGTAGAGTTTGAAAGAATGGCACCAGTCTTAAGTGGGTTGGACCTATAATGGCACTGAGAGCTGCTTTACTGTCACAGCTTGAGATAGCTGTACTGTCATGATACGCAGTAAGAGCATCAGGGATTAGTTCTTGCTGTGTACATGTGCCCACCAAGACAGTCCAGAGAGAACCCTGTAGGGAGAATTTATTTTAAGGCTGTTTAATGGACTTTAAATGCATATTTCAGTACTTTTCTTTGTATCTGATCCACGTATGTTAAGGCATTTTCCAAAGTAGAAATATATTCTACTTTATGGAATGATTTTAACAGAAGTACTTTTCACACTCATGGAATTAAGGTGAATTTAGATTTTGAGGCCTTCAGCCAAGTGTGAAGCAGTTTAGTTGTGTTTTAATTTTCTGTATTCTATTAAATTTTGCCTTTAGGGATTTGATAAGTCTTTAAAGAAGGTAAATGCAATTGTAGTTGGTTAATCAGTACTTTTTACTAAGCCATTTTGTGTGTGTGTGTGCGTGCGCACATATGTGTATATGTGCACATGGTGTGCTTTTCTGTAGTTCTGGGGATTGAGCCCAGAGCCTTCTGCAGGGTAGGCAGGTATTTTATCACTGAGCCACTCCTTTGGCCCCAACCATGTTCTCTTTCTTTGAAAAGCTCTTTTTGTGAGTTTTTTGTTTGTTTGTTTTAGTTTGTTTGTCTTTTTGAGACAGGGTCTAACTATGCAGTTGAGGCTGGCCTTGAGCTCACTTTGTGGCCCAGGCTGACCCTGCACTTGCTAAGATCCTCCTGCCTCAGCTTCCTGAGTGCTGGGATTACAGGCGTGCGCCACCTCACCAAGTGTGAGCCAGTGTTCTAATAAGACTGGTAGATGTGGCTTTACTTTACTTCCTTTAGAATATTATATAAGTCTCATATTACTCTTACTGGGTCCTACAATAGTCCTTGTTTTTCTATATTTAAAATGAGTTCATTCTGTGCTTTTATAAGTAGTTGAAACTCTTTATTTAAATTACCACAATCATGGTACTTAACATCTTTATTACCTCACAAAGTTACCTCTTGTGAATGTGGGGTAAGAAGATATTCTTAAGACCTACTCTGTTTCCAGATTCCAAGTATATGATGCAGCTTTCTTAACTATAGTTCTCACACTGTTCCCTGAATCCTCTGGAACTCACCTGTGTTATAATTTAGTCTGTGTGCTTTGGCCAACATTTCCATTTCCCATCCCTCCTAGCCCCTGGCAGTCACCAGTCTACTCTGTTTCTATGGGGTTGACATTTTAAAATCCCACATACAAGTAAAATCCCATGGTATTTTCTTTCTCTAGAGCATATTAGCCTCCCGCTCCTGCCTGTTCATTACAGGGTCACCTTGCAGATGGTCTGTCATGGGATTCTTGGGGTTCATGACCAGTTGAGCCAATTGCTGTACCCATCGCCCCTCAATTACCTGTATTGGCATCTAAATCCCCTGTCCCACCGGTTTTGTCTCTGGAGAACCCCAGGTAACCACACCCAACTTCTCTCGCTCTCTTGGACTTCACCTCATTAAATCTGCACGGGGGAAGCTGAGGAAGAACACCGCAAAGGCAGACCAGCTGTTCCCCCTTTCCCTTCCTTGTTCTCTAGAATTAGTCGGAGATGTTCAGATTTCATAAACTTCGTGACTGAAGGTTTTATACTATCAAACTTTCCAAAGTATTTGTTGTTTTCCAAGCTCTCTTTTTCTTAGAAATAAGTGTATTCTCCTTTTCCAGACCTTAAAAAGAAAAGAAACTCTTACTTAACAAAACAGTGCCAGATGTGCATTTGGTGAGCCTGTATTTTGCAGCTGGAGCCTGACCATAGACACATGCGTGTAAAGAAGTGAGCTTGAAAGTCGGGGGTCTGTGAGGTATGATTTTGGCGCACTTTTACTAATGTATACTTAGGTTTACGTTTGAAAGAAGGAGTTATAACAGGAATTAAAACAGGAACCCCCACTTTCCAGTGCTGAGTCCTAGGAGCACGGTGATTGCTTTCTCATGAAATTATTTCAAAAATAAATTACTGAGATGAAAACTTTGATCAGGGCATAACCGAAACCCCTCTGATTTTCTTTTTTCTTCTTCTTCTTTTTCGTCTTCTTTTTTTTTTGAGATGGTCTCTCTATATAGTTCAGGCATTTTCCAAAGTAGAAATATATTCTACTTTATGGAATGATTTGAACTTGAGGCAGTCCTCTTACCTCAGCCTTCCGAGTGCTGGGATTACAAGTGTGCATCACCACACCTGGCACCCCTCTGATTTTCAGTTTCTTAATCTAATAGTCAAAGGTGTAAGAATAGTAATTGATCTGGCCAGCAGTGAGGAGCATTGTAGAAACACATACGGCTAATCACAAGTTAAACAGTCTTTTCTATAAATGTAAAGCTCTTTGGTGGTAAAGAATATGTGTGTGTGTGTGTGTGTGTGTGTGTATTGATTTGTGCATATATATTTACAAATATACACACAAACCTAGTTTGATAAGACGTCAGTGATGTGGCATTAAGTATAAAGGTGTTCAGTAAAAAGCAGCCTACATTTTATTGATCAATTTCTTACAACAGAGACTTCTGAAAAGCCAATTCATAAAGTAGAATGTTGGTTCCAAGAAATGTGACTGTAGTTTTATGCTGTTTACAGAGAAAATGTCAGGGCTAACCCTTGGATGGTATCCAAAGAAAGAGTAAAAGAATAATTGCTGTGATGGTGAGGTTGCAAAATAAAAGCCACATTATAGTTCCTAAGTGAGTTAGGTTACAGCCTCATGGGAAGCCTCCAGGATAACAAAGGTGTGATAAGATTTTAGAAGTGTAATTAAGGAGGAGTAGGAAAAGGAATACCTTTGAATCCTAGTGCAGTCAGTC